TAGCATATTGAATTAAAAATTATTTAATTAACGATTGAATCTAATACGAGCAAATTAAATCGAGTCAATCCAATCAATTATTCAAAGTTACAATTAGTTTTATAGGTAATATTTATACCCAGAATATTATGGAAGATCCAATAATTGAAAACAAAGTAGAATTCCCTTGAGAAGGACAACGGTCATATCAATCCGAATAATTTCTGATTGAATTTGTTAATATAAATCATCAATTAAACGGTCTTTAATTAAATTTGCTAAGTTTAATCGTCAATTAAACGATTTTTAATTACATTTTCTGAGTTCAATTATTAATTGAACAATCGTTAATTTTTTTCGCTCATGTCAATTGGACGATTTGTAATTGAATTTGTTTTGAAATCAATTGTCAGTCGAACGGTCTTCTATTGAATTTGTTTAAATTAATTGTCGATTAAACATTATGCAATATATTAAATTAGTTCATATTAATTATCTACTAAACATAGTAATTAAATAAAAAAACAATTAATTATTCGCAATTTTGCATATTTTATATAATTCAACTATGAAAAATTTAAATTTAATTCTAAATGAAAATCTGAGTGCTTCACATGAGACAAGTTTCACGTAATATCATTTAATATAAGCCTTAAAAATAAGCCTTCTGCTACTTGGGATGTAACTCTGTTTCGGCTTTCATTGGTTCAAGTAAACACCAATTAATAATAACATTACACATCAATGTCATAATTTTCTACTCAACAATATAAGTGCAATATAACATATGTTGTATGTAACAATTATATCACTGAGAAGGAAATTATAACATTGAGATGCAGCTGTTACTTGACTGGGAAAAAAATGATTAAGTTAAAAGTATCAATTTCCGGACATATACCTAATCCCGGACATTTTTATTATTTTTATATTTAAATACTAATATTTTAACACAGAATGTATGTATATATTCAATATTTGTGTATATATATTTTCTGCTGAAAATTTAAATATTTATATTTTAAGACCAAAACAATAAGAACGTCCAGGATTATATGCATGTTTGGGCATTGGTACCTTTATTTTATACATAATTATATATAAATTATATGTGATTTTGTTGTCCATATATGACCACATATATAATCGTATGTGTCCAGACGGAAAAAATGAAGTTAAATAAAAGAGGGAATAAATAGTTTCATTCAATTAAACGTCATGTGCTGCCAGAAGCATAAATATTTGCATAAATTGTATTTATCTAATAACATTTTTTTCTCGTTGTGGTTATATATGATTATGCATGATTATATATGGCACATACGGACGAAACTCATATATGATCTTTTCTTCCCAGCTGGTGTTTACTGAGATTCAAAACACCTTTAAGTGACGGTTTTCCTCCGTTGCTGCGCGAAAAATCGGTGGACTGAGAGAAAACTGCAGAAATTCATTCAGAAAAATCAATATACATTTCATATAGCGGTTCTCGTTAGTGTTGAAAGTTGGAAGAGGATGCAAGTGCAACATGAAGGTAGTCGAGACATTGAGAAATCCTTCTTCCAAATTATAAAAGCGAACGTACTTTGCGATTCGTTACCGACCCCCGAGTGCGACTACTCTTGTAGCGGTGTATTTTTACAATATACAGGCTCTGCAAGTATACGTTTTATTTTTTATGTGCAATTTTCGCTGAGAGAGAGGTAATTCTTTGCAATTTTTTTATCCTCTCTCTATCGCATATGTACTGTATATGTACAAGTTCTGTCGCGTACTCGTTCTCCGCGAATTCGTGCGGCTCGTGCAAGATCAGTCCATTTATTTCCATTCCGCTCGAGGACGGCGCACAGACGGGTCGATAATGATCCTATAATAGAATTTTGCTTTGACAACGTTACATCCGATTCATGCTTCGCGACTGCACGTGCTTCCCTTACGACGAAGAAGCTGTGTGTTCTTTCAAGGGTAAATGTCCACGAAGTTCACTTTGGAACATCGCCGGCGTGCGACGTTCTTTTCATTTTTCCAGCTTTCCTCTCGAAGGCTGACACTTGTCGATATTTCATTTTTTACTTGCTCGTTTACCCGCGACAAGTCGTGGGCTCGATCCTCCGAACAGTCCTCGTTGCTCGAGCGATTGTATGTCGTGTGTTTCCTTGTACTGCCGCATAACGAGTAATTTTTGGGTCTTTTTCGTAATGTTATACAATGACAAAGCACACTGAGACACTGCGCCAATCCAATAGAAAAACAATATCGTCGTTATTGTGTCGTTTGTTTAGTATTCACAAATCGTAAGAAGACGACGAGGTGCCGCCAAGACAGACCACCGCGAGAGTTCGCGTCCCCGCGGCGATCTCTCACCCTCTCGTCGTTTCTCTCGCTTCGCCGAACTAGACTCGATAACTAGTAGATAACGACTTGAAAAAAGTCAAGACTTCATCGATTACAAGTTTAATCTTTTAAGCGTAGTATTTCGATCCCTCTATCAGCTAATCGACCGCGTCAATCGTCACGGAAATTATGCGCGATTGCGGTAAAAAATAATGACGATCATGAGCGATCGGTGGTGCGTGGAGAATGTGATAAAGACAGGAAGAAATAGGGAGAAAGAGAGGGAGAGGAAGGAAAAAAGGGAGAGGGAAGCTAAATCGTCCACCTGGTGGAGGTAATGTTGTACTCTGAATTATCGTAAATATCACGTGAACTATGCTAATTACACTTATAATATTTTACTATTTCTTTCTCCCTCTAAATTCAAAAGTTATGTCGCGTATCGTGTTGCGTCACGTTTATCGATTCAGGGTTGGGCGCTTACGTGTAAATTATAATAGTCTACGTCTACGTGTAGACAACGTAAACTATGTATGAGATGTCCTCTACGTTCAGCAGAGAAAACTACTTCGCAATCGTTGTAAAATTTACAAATCTAATTATCCAGATAGCATAGAGAATAAAAAAAAGAATTAAAAAAGAATTCAGTCATATATATCACCAATTCTGAGTTTATTTTCATATAGATGCACAAAGAATTTTTCAGAGTTCGGTTCAGTGAAAAGAATTCTTTTTGTATCTAAAAATAAACTTAGGATTGGTGACATACGACTGAATTCTTTTTGAATTCTCTGTGCTATCTGGATGATGTATGCTCTTAATCTTGGCCGAATTTGAGAGTATACACCACTCAGATTCACAAATTTTACAACAGTTGTATAACAGCTTTCTCTGTTGAACGTAATTATTGAATCTATAAATCTATGGATATCGTTTAAAGAACGTACAACTTGCTCAAAAAATAATTAAGAAAAGTTTCTGTTTATTTCATCTTTAGAATTCTGACGTAAATTTATGAACATTGCTCCCTGAACAAGCTCGAGTTCAACTCAGAATTTTCTGATTATATTCTTACTTTCTTACCTTAAAATTAAATCTACCACAATCAAACAATGAAATGAAAATTTCATGTAAATTGTTATCTTTTTTACATATTACATTTACAATTAATGCCCAAAACAGATACTGTAACTATCTCATAATTCAATTACTCTTTTCTGGAGGGAGGGGGGGGGGTGTAAATTTTAATACAAATTATAATATTCTACATAATTTTCATTGTCTACATGAAAAGAGACCGTGTATACGTACATTATGTAGACAATACGTAAACAATCCGCGTAGACGTAATCTTGAAATCTATGGCACAACTCTGCATCGATCTACTCCGCGTAGTGAGACGCGCAAGTGAAACCAACGTCGCGACGTGTTTGAAAGGATCAAAGGATTATCGGTCTGCACGGAGATATGAAAAATTTAAGATCTCATCTTTATCGTTAGATGCGTTATATCTCGAGATGGTCCCTGCGGGATTTTTAATTTTATTCGTAAATATTATTTTTCCCTCGGCTGCGTATATATTCATTACAAAAGCATAAAGTTCCATTTTTACTACGGTTACATTGGAAATTGATATCTCGGCTTTTCAGTGACTGTGTCGTAACGAAATATGTTTAACGAGTGCTTGGAAGTAGAATTCATATGATATAATAGACGACGTGTATGACTCTTTTAATGGCTACGCGGGCTACTGCTTTTCTTCGCGTTTCCTAATGTTTACGGGAAATCCTGAGAAACAGTGCGGATTCGATTGACATTTTGTTCGCTTACAAAGTTCAAATCGGCCTAACAATGATCGCCGAAAAAGAAAAGGAAGCATTTCGTTCGAAGCACCCGTTATATATCAACCAGCATAGGGCCATCACAGTAGTGTAAAATACTGTCGCTTGTATATGCTTGTAATATAAGACAAGAATATATTAATGGATTTATAAGAAAGTTAAAGAGAGAGAAGGAGAGAGAG